CCCCCCCCCCCTTCGGAAAAAGCAGTGCCCCGGGGAGCTGCCGGCACACGAGGGTCTGATCATGGGCCAAGCCGTCTCATCTGGCCACGTGCTGCAGGGTCTCGGTGCTTCCTTGCAGCCCTATTAATTAGTCCGGGAGCCGCACCGATGGGCTTGTCCCTCCGCTGCCGGGCATCACCCGCCGGCACCCCGGGGAAGGGCGGCTGCACCCCACACCCGCGGGTCCCTCGCCGCCCTCGTGCCCCGGTGCCACCGCCGCAGGGAGCAGCTGAGCGCCCATCGCTCGCCTGTCGCTCCGGCTCTCTGCGCAGAGCAGGGAACGGAGCCAGCAGCTAAAAATGCGCTTGGCAAGAGCAATTCTGGGTCTTGCACCTTGCGGGAACGTGAAGTTGGATCTTCTCTGAAGTAGGCTGGTATTTACACAGGACACCTCGCCTCACACGGATGGGCTGTGATCGTTGATCATCCTGTGGGCTGCCTTTTTTTTTTTTTCTCTTTTGTATTTTGTAAAGGTACATTTTCTCCCATTAAAAAAAAAAAAAGGTAAGAAACACATAAAAGCAGTAATTACCTCAAGGAAAGGGAGGAACAGTTTGTTAAAATAGAAGCAATTACGCATGGCCTGAGCCAGCCAAGGCAGCTCCGAAGCACTTTTAAGCTTCTCCTAAGTGAACCTTCAGTGCTTGGTGGCTGCAGGTGTGCAAATTAAGGTTTGGGGCCAGGCTTTCGGGTAAGGAGGACAACAGGAAGGGCCCAGGGACCTGGCAGAGGTGAGCAAGAAGGGGGCAGTTCAGGTCCCCGCAGATTCCTGGCCGCAGAGATGCCAGCGGGAGCATAAGGCAGGACACCCGCTCGCGGAGATGACCTGGGATACGCAACCGCAGCTGAGCATCCTCCTAGTGGGCAGGCCCCCAAACCCCACCTGGATGAGTTTGTAGAAATTGAGGATCCCAGAGCATTATCCGAACGCTCCCAGGGACTGCAGGTGCCCTCACCCTGTTGGTAGCCTGGCCCACCTCGGCCACGTCTCGGATGCTGCTGCACCGTCCCAGGCAGTGAGCAGCTCCGGGTGCCAGGTTCTTCCACAGGTGGGAAGGCGACTCCATGCCATGGTAGGGGCACTGGCAGCTTCTCCTATGCTGCTGGGCTTCCCTCACCGCCCACACCAGCGAAGCGCAGCTCTCTGGCCAGAGCAGCCCCGTCCTCCTGCACACCCCAACAGGGGAGGAAGGGCAGGCCAGGCACAGCACTCCCTAGGGATGCTCCTGGAGGACCTTCGGGCAAGTAGTGACAGCCAGCTTCTACCAACAGGGTTTCCTAGGAGTCCCTGAGGTTGGGAGATGAGCCCAGTGACCTGGATGGGGCTTTTCCATCTCAGATATCTCAGCAAATGGATCAGAAATGCGACACCTCAGGGCATCGCAGCAAGTCTGCACATTTTAGTGTCATGCAGCTGCAGGAGGGGACAATATTTAATGAAATCCAATCTCTTTGGCTCTCTCAGAAGAAGAGCATCTGTAGAGGAGCTTTCCTGACAGCACAACCCCAGCTTTCCTGAGCATGACAACCACCTTAACCGCTAAATCGCGAGGTCCCCCGTCACACCCCGCACTGACGCAAGCCTCACCCATTCATGCTGCAAAGGTGGCTCTGCGCTTGGAGGCGCCTGTCCCCCACACGGCCTGGGTCCTGCCACACTGCTGCTGCCAGCCAGCTTTTCAGCCCAGAAAGCGAAGCTCCCAAGGTTTATCTTGCAGCGGCAAACCCGAGCAGGGCACCTCGGCTCCTGGCGCGTTCCCTGCACGAGGACAGCCACGGGGGCTGCTCCGACTGCTGCGTCATGTCCACCCGCTCGGAAGGTGGCTCGGTCAGTCGCCGTTCAGCCTGGTGAGGGACACAAAGCATTAGGGCTTCTTCTCCTGCTCACAGTGACCCTTTGCAACGTCATCTCCCTCCAGGAGGGCGTACGTGGTCAGACATCTGCGCGGAGCCTGTTTCTGCGTCCCGTGGTTGTCCTGCTCCAGGGTCACAGTGTAACCACCAGCTTCTGCCGGCTGGGACGAGCCAAGGACATGTTGCTAACTCATGGGCATGAGCACAGAGGCAGAACATCCTTCATTAATCATAATAGTGGGCCATTGTGTGCTTGTATTCAGCATTTCAAAGTGAAGGAAAAATCCAAGGTACATAGGTAGCAGTGGGCCATAGTCATGAAAACAAACAGCTGTATGCTGCTCAGTGAAAAGCGGAACTCTGTCCCATGAAGAATTCCAGTATTTTGGTACTAGGTTTCATCCTCAATTGGAATAAAGCTGCAATTCATACACACAGAAAAGCCATGATACAAACCCCAAAGTGATACGTAAATAGGCTTAGTTTTGTTATGAGGGGGGAAACAATCAACAGAAAATAAACTACATTCTCCAATAGAAAATGCCATGTTTATCTAAACTGCTAAAACCCACTGAGCTCTATCCCTGCATAGCCTGTGAGCATCACGGCCAGAAGGTGTCCAATGATAGGATGCGACTCCCTCACCCACCAAACAGCAGCCACCCTGCGCCCATCCAGCCATCGGCACACGAGTCACAGGGAGGACGTAACGCAGATTTCGCAATAGAGCCCTGCCAGGGGACTGTCAGCCCCCGTGTGCTCCAACCCTCAACTGCTGTTCCTGCTCATCCCCAGGTGCAACAGAAGAGAGGAAAAATGATCTGTGCTGAGAGCAGGCGTTTCCAGCCATCTGGGACCAAATTGCTGCTTCTGAGCCAGCAGCTGTTACAGGATGGACTTATAAAAGTCAAGGCTGTATCCCAAGAAGGATCCTGAGAAACTTCATGTGTTACCTCAGTGTTCTTGTGGGTAGCATGGAGATGACTGACAAAGGCCTGGATCCAACCATTGGCAGCAACAAAGGCTCCGATCCCGTCTGTCGGCTCAGCCTGGAGACAAGGAGAAGGGAGATGAGGTCACATCACCATTCGCTGAGCGCAAAGCAGTCCCCAGGTCAGCCAGTGTTACCGTCAACAGAAACTCCCACCGAAGCGAGACTCCCCAGGAGGTACCAACCTTCTGCTGCATGTGGATGTCCATCCGGGGAGCCATCTCGTGCTCCCGAAGCCCCCGCAGAGGGAGCAGGTGGGCGCCTTGCCAGTCACACAGTAGATGCTGAGTGTCTCTTCCTTGCGCTCCTCACAGCTGGGAGGTTCAGCCTTCAACAGAGGCCTGGAGCTGAACAGAGAGAATAAGAGTAAATAGGGGAGCAGAGAGTGAATGCCAGGATTGTCTTCAAGTTTTTTTTTTTTTTTTTTTCTCTCCTTCCTGTTCTTGACAAAGGGAGCACACCTGCAGCTGAGCTGGAGAGATGCCACTGGCTGCAAACCCTTCCAGAAACCCAGAGTCCCAGGACAAGCACTTCCTGCAGCAGGGCCCCACCCCGCTCTTATAGCTCCAGGCTGGCTTTAGCCCAGAGGAACTCGGCTGTAGGTTGCTGACGCCTGGCATGGGCAGCCCTGTCTAGTTGATTTCCGGCATGGCACTGGTTGCTGCTTCTGATTTTGTCGAGTGACCTCGGGCCATTAGCTGCAGTATTTTGCTCCCCAAGCTTTGCTTGCCTTGCCTGCCCAGCCATGCATATGGACAACCCTTACAACAGCAGGGATGGGCAAGACAGGAATCATTTCTCGGTTGTCAGCACTGGTTCCCAAAGACACCCAAGTGCCCTGCTGCACCTGGCGCTCCAGAGCAGGCTTCACCTGTGGCACAGGGGACCATGAGCCAGACGAGAGCTAGCCCCAGGGAGACTGAGTCCTGTAAAGTGAGTGCAGGTGATCGGGAGCCATGTGCAGAGCAAAGCAGGACTGAAATTCCTCCTGAGGGGACCAAGCAAAGAGAAGAATCACAGCACCCAAAAGGTAAGGAAGAAACCTGTTGGAGCACATGCCAACTCCTGCTTGGAGATGCCAATGATGTTCTCGACCATGAGGTTCCTCTGGAGGCTGTAGACTGAGTCTGTCCAGGCAGCAGGACAGGCAGTGAAACCTCCCTGCCAACCCCAAGGTGGTTCCTCGATATTGAAACAGAGATCTTTGTTGGCTACCTAGAGGCGTGTATTATTCAGCTGGCTTGAAAATTCCTGTGAGACTATTTAAGGAAGTTCTGGAAACCACAAATTCTACCAGGCAAGGAGGCAAGCTGCGAAGAGGACACGCTTTTAAAAGGAGTCAATGATTGGAGCGTGAGACAAAGTGGAGACACCAGATACTTAAGAGCTTCAAGGCAGGTAATGAAAATCACCCAGGAGAGTGGAAGGGTGGGAATAAGAACATGCCTGACCCCTCCGCTATGCCAAGTCCATACCCGTGACCAAGGGAGGAGTCCTGCCACTGAGAGCAGAAAGCGTGCTTTGAGATGAAACGTTAAGATTTCGTACTTACCTTCTTCCTGTTAACTTCTGTCAAACGGGGAATTAACTCTTCAAAATTATTGCAATCACCAGGAAAGGCATATGGGTAGTAAAAGCTGCTGGTGTCAATAAGACCCCCTTACAATAACAGTAATGCTTCCTCTGTCACAGATCCAGGTTTAGAGGTTCAGGCAGAGAGCTCAGAGCATCAGATTTATGTTGTCTAAATCCTCACCTTGGCTCTGAAACAAGTCTCGTAACAGCCTTTGGCACATCTTTTGCTCATCTTTACTTCTGTGTCTCCACTTGCAACGGTAAAGCAAAGTGTAAACCAGTCTCGGATGATGCAAGGTTCTCAGTAAAGTGAAATTTTTACTGTTAACAGATCTTCAAAGTTTGTGTGCTAGCTCCTTCCATGGATGCATTAGGATCATTTCTCATATCACTTGGCAACAATAACTTCTATTTACATCCCAGATATCCACCATGTTCCAGCTCTGATTCCTCTTGCTTTTAAGAGCTATAATTTAGGGACAGAACATCACCCAGCACTTCCAAGACGTCAGGATACCAACAGCTTCCCCAGCACAGCCCAGTTGCTGCGGTGCTGCCTGGAACTGGTAACCGCACCGTTTCCCAGTATGGGGCTCCTCCGTTCGCAAGTCCCTCCAGTCAGTGTGTCTCAACATTTTTTGCACATTTTAGGAGAACATCGTTATATTGGCCATGAATGGCAGAAGCCTCAGCTACTGGTTTGTAATAACTAACTGGAGAAATGAGATCTGAGGAGACATCTCAGCTGCTGAGGCAGAGGGCAGTGGTATGGGGACTGCAATGCAAGGACTCGGAGGGCATTTGCTGCAGACACGTTTTATCCCATTGTCTTCACTCCTAGCTATAAGAGGGAAATTTCCTTCTTGCCCCTCTAAAGGTTGGGAGGGCAAATTAGGATTTTCAGGTCCCTATTTGGGCTGTCAAGGCAACAGTCGTTCTCTTAAGGGAAGCTACTGAGAGAAGTTCAACAGATCCACTTCCTTTCAACAAATCTAGTGGGGCCTGACAGAGGCTGATGGAAAGGACCGTTCAGAGTCCCTCAGTGAGAGGGAGTCCCTCCCTCTCATTTGTGAGAGGGAGTCCCTCCCTCTCATTTGACTCATGCATTGCCCAGTCAGTTTTCAGTGCCTGCTTTGAAACGTAAGAGAAACCAATTGATCCTACATAAATTTCTATGCTGACTTAAAAACAAACCCCTCACAGAACCCCACTTTCTTCCAGCAGAGCAAGACATACACAGCACTTACCCACTTGAAAGATGTCACTAGCACGTTCCCGGCAGAGGTTGTGTTGGCAAGGCAGGATGACCACGGGTTTGGTGAACATCTCCAAGCAAAACGGGCAGATGAGCTGCCTCCAAGCTATCCGTTGTGCGGTGATCTCTAGAAAAAGATTTGTATTCCATTTAGGTAGAGGTGACAACACTAACGAAGCCCAGACCACACTCAACTCCAACTGAGAGGCAGCAAAACAAGGCAGCACTGCTTAGCTTGTCCCTGCTTGGCTGCCAGCTGTGGTGCTGCAACAGCGCGCAGCACACGAGAGGGAAGCAGCCCCTCACCCACATCTCATGCTAGATGTGGCTGTTGGCTCGCTGTCTCTAGAGCTCTGCTGCTGCCTCTCTCTTTAAGGCCCTAGGAATTTGATAGCTGAAGACGTTTGTCTCTAATGTTACATTTTGGTTCCTATTGCTCTCAGGGGGATAAGGGAAACAAGCCTGATTTCATAGCCAGAGTATCATGCACTTCTACTCACACAGTTCTACCTTAAAAATATTAAGTATTTGTCACTGCCTTGTATGTAACCCAGGCGTGTGCCTTCAGACAGCGAAACGTCAACTTGAAGTCTTTGGTAGGACGAATCCTTACTCCAGGAGGCCTTTTGGTAGTACTGCAACACAGACAACTTGAAAAACACAGCGCAGTTGACAGTTAAAGGGAAACCTAGCATTTCAGTCACTAGTAGGAAAGGACAATGGCTTGCAATTGTAGGATACACTTCACTCCTGCTCAATTATTCAAGGTTTTAACAGGAAAAGTCTAAAAAGTGAAAAAGTAAACCGACAGCAAAGACCTTAGACAAGGGAGATATGGATTAGATCGCCTAACCTGGCAGATGACCTCCAAGTTTGAAGAGCTGTTTAGCCCTGTTTTAGCACATCACCACCAGTGAAACTGGAATGACAGTCCGTTTCCTTCATACACACCATAGGAACACATTCATTAAAAGACAGAAAAGCACTAAACACTGCAATAGGGAGCAAATATCTGATATGGAAAGGACATCTCTACCAGTACATTCCTAAACAATCCTTTCTGCACATTATGGATACCAAGCATCAGCAGGGAAAAACACAGCATTGCAAAGATGCATGAGGAACGGCAGAACCAATTTTATTCAAAGCATATCCTGCAATAGGGTTAACTAATTCCTCATCTGAGCACACATACAGAATTCACTGAAAATGCATACTGCCAAATACATGTCAGTGCTGTGCTACACGTGCTCAATACACATATCAATTTCTCTTTCAGAATTGCAGCAATCTTAATAAACTCCAAGAATTTGTGTGATTCTGAGTTTATGTCATTTTTGGTCATTTCTACACAGTTTCAGTCTTCCCGCATTTTCAGAAATTATTGTGCCTATTTCATAAATTCAGGATCCCTACAATACCTACATTCAGCATGAAATCAAACAGCCCATTACATATTTCATTCAGGTCTTTAGCCTTTAGTGCTCAAATAGAGCCAGGGACTCCAAGACACAGGTGTAAGGGAGAGGAGGGGAAAAAAAGGGGGGCAGTTCAAAAGGCATTGATGAGAACAAACCATTTGACCTCTTTGAGGTCACCCACCTCAAAACAATACCCTGCCACAGCGGGTCCTTCAGGCAGGCAGCCACGCAGGTGCTCATTTTCGTAATGAGTTCAAGTGTACAAATAAGGAAAGAAAAAGCCAATGTACATTTCCGCATTGAAAACATTTATTTTACAACAGTGGTTTCAGATAATTTAGCAATCTTTATTTTAGTTTATATTCAGACATACAATACACAAATTACCATGCTAAAACATAAAATAATTCCTTCTGCTGCAACTGCATGTATGTACAGGAGCTCAGTAGTATCGAGTGTTACAATCCACAAAGTTCAGACAGCCACATCTACTTACATACAATTCAGTGTGGTCCTTTAGTAACATAACAAAATATATATATGTCTATATTATAATTGTTTTTCAGATGCATTTATACTTTGATTGTTTTTACAACGGCTAATATTTTTTTAAACATGGGCTTCCCCTCTCCCCCCCCCCCCACCCTACCGGAATTGAAGTACAGTGCAAATGCAAAACGCGTTCTCTCATTACATCTTCAGCTACCACAGGCTTCATAAAGAGGCCAATATAACAAAACCCCATAATGAACTATTTATCTCAGGGCTTTGCTCTCATGCAAAATGAATCTAAACTGCCTTGGATGTCTGTGATAACGCAAACCAAATAATCCACACCCAGTCCAAAAACGTGGGAGAAGGTGGGGATGTAGTGGAAGGAAGGAAGGAATGACAGCAATTGGCTTAAGTGGCACACATCCAAACAAGGAAACATCAAGCGTTTTGAACTTGGCAAACTTCAAAGTTCATCTACTGTGACAGACACAAATATAACTTCAAACATATAAGTAATAAAAGGAATCCCCTGTATATTTCCCCATTTCTGCTGATTGCCATTAAGCAGAAAACCAATGCGTGTTTTGTATGTTAGGCAACAGCTTCTGGAACATAGGGCCCAACTAGGGCCAGCTGCATTCTCTACCCAATATGACTAGAAGTAATTTGGTGGTACATACACTTACGTTGGCCACAATCTTTTTGCCTTTACACAAATCATCAGCTAACTCCAGTTTTATGACTTGCGATAATTCCAAGTCTTATGAATCCAATCGGTAAGCACTATAAATTGAATAACTGGACCAGACTGTGCAAATGCATCATGAGATTCAAGTTTAAATTCTCACTAGCGAGGAGGGAAGACTTTAGGAATCCACTTGAGCAGAAGATTGATTTTTCCCTTTTCAAACAGCACAGCTCTCTCACTAGTACTACCTATTTATTTATACAACAGGATCCATCCACTGTTTCCTTCACCAGTCATTTAAATTGACAAGTCTTGTTTGTTCTTTCCTGCAGCTGAAAGGAGAAAGCACGATTCTGGACACACAAAACTCACACCTTCGGCTTTTCTGTCTGAGAGTTCATAGAAGTACTTTGAGCCAAATTTCATGTTTTACCACCAAAGAAAAAACAGCAGCAAGTACTAGGTGCACACCTGTTGTATAAATATATACATATGTGCATATATACATACATACACACACATGATGTTGCAATCCAAAACCTACAGCACAGGTTTGGACCTTGCTTTGTGAAGTCAACGACTCCCAGTTTGTAGACTACAAAGTAGTTAAAACTGGTATAGGGAAAAAAACGTATCAATGTATTCCACTATTACCTTTAGTGATTAGCATATTGACCATGTTTAATATGCCCCCACATACCAGCCCATGCAAGTCAAAGTTATTTCAGAGATTGCCCTTACCCTCCTCGCTATTGTTGGGTTTCATTTCTTTCCTTTATAGGAGAGCTGAAACAGGTAAATCCCAGCTCTGCCCTCATGGGACAGGGTCAAAGGGCAGTTGGCAGGAATCAAGTAGATCGTCACATTTTTTGGAAGCCATTGCTGTACACAGAATATGATAAGCAACCATTCACAAACTACAAGAATACACCCACATTGCTGGTTGTGGGGGAAAGGGAGCAGAGAAAACAACCGCACTCAAGAATGAATGGCTATTTTGTGTAAGAGCTTCCTCTACACATATATAGAGCCACCAATAATTCCCAGCATCTCTCCTTCTACATTAACTGTACATTTAACATTGGCATTTTATTTTCAAATGAAAGTATGTCTTCCAGATTAACGGAGTTTGGCTTGTGCAAACAAAAGCAACGGAAAGCTTCCCTAACGCAGTTTCTTCTTGAAAAGAAAGCACTTTCCTGGTACAAAAAGGGAATCTCGGTCTTGCAGAGTCTCAGATAGCACTCAAATCTCCACATACAGTATGTGGACCAGACCATAGTTCTTGCAGGACTTGAACACTGACAAACTACCTGCCATTTTGTTAACTATCAGTTATACTTCTTTCAGGATACTTCAAACAGTTGTTGGCATAATGATTTACTACAACCTAGATGTTTTCCATTATAATACAGAGAAGTGGCATCAAATGATAAAGCAAGTTAAGTTCATACCGACTTTACACTATAAACATTTGCATGGGGGGGGGGGTTATGTTTCAGTGCCTTGATTCTAAGATTAACGCAGACTTAAACAGCATCCAGAATTACTAACATGAGGCAGGGGCTGCCAAGTGGCAAAAGCCTGACTACCTAGCAAGAATCTCCTGTTAAACATTAAGCCAATATCCAGTTGCATTGGGTAGGAAAAACCGCAGCACAAATGCATTTCCTAAATTATTTGGAAATGTCAAGAACACTGAAGGGCACCAAAGGGCAAAAACGAGTTAAGAAAACAGGTACCTCTCTCAAGAACTGTGTACATTACAAATGCTCAAAGATTAGCCCCCCCAAAAACATAGTCACATCCCTCCACATCACAAAACATAACCATTTAAAAAATGGAACAGGAATATATTTTCTGTCAGGTTCCTGCCCTGGTTATATCTGCAGTGCTTCTATACTCTGACATCAAGGGTTTTTAAAACTGTAGTCCCCCTACCACAGCACTGTTGCTGTGCATTGGGTAGTACCGTGTTAAAGCCTTCTTCTTAAGCAGGTGTTTCTAATCATACTGTAGGCTGCGTACACAAATTTCAAAGAGCATCACATTTTCAAGAACACTATGAGCACTAATATCTAAAGCAGTTTAAAAATACTACAAATCTAAAAATAAGACTAAAACGATAATATGGCTCTAAAACATCACTGCATGGAATTGGCAGAAATCTATACAATATCAGACACCATTGATGTTTACATAAACAAATTTATATACAGATAAATATTCAAGAACTTCCTACATATATTACTAACAAAATGAAACTGGCATTTAACAGGTGCGACTCCCCTTCATTCACTTCAAGTGAAGTACTGAATGCTTTGTTGCACTACTGCTACACCGGTCTGGGGATTTCCCCATGCACAGGAAGGATAGGGCACAGCAAGTCCAGCACCAGCTACTTCTATGACAGCTTTGCTGCTGTCAGAAAAGATGGTACCTACGCATTCCTTGAAATGAGGCAGTAGCTTTCCTTACTTATCCTAAGTTACAAACACCATGGCTCTCCGTACAACGAAACTTGTGGATAAAACCAGTGGTCCTTAATATCAGTCAATGAAACTCTCCAAATCAGATTTCCCCCATACACTCCTCCTAATAACAAGGAGCTACAAGGGCTAAGAAGATGGGTGCTGAGTACGTTTGATGAGCTAGATGGAAGCTGCTGAACTACTTAAACAGAGATCTTGGGTAACTTGTAAAAATGATGATGTGACTTTTAAGAAACAAAAAGCAAAGCTAAAGTTTTGATTCTGGCAACATACTGAATAGAGATCAACAGTGCTCAGGTTTAATTTTGGAAGGAAACATCCTGCATATAAGCCAGTAATAAGTATTTTCACCCAGGCTTTAGTGCCTGGAAAGGTACGCTATTTTAGGTCTGGTAGGGACATTACAGCTCCATAAACTTAAGCTCAGAACTTAAGCCGGTTGATCTTAAGCACCAGATTTTTAACCATTATTTCCAATACAATTTTGCATTCCCTGGGATTCTGTTTCGCCATTTTGCAAAGACAGAAGTACAACTGATGTAACCGCAGGATACACTTGTACCTTACTTATGACATAAGAAAAAAGCGGGCATTAACCTACATATCTTCTGATTACACAATTTTTGTTTTAAAGAAACATTGTTTAAATAATTAGATCTCACACAGTTTGAGAAGTCAGGAAAGAGAGAAGTCAAAAACACATTAATATAGAGTCATCTTAAATTCAGAGATTTAAGACTAACGGGGGCAAATTTAGCAGTTTCAAAAAAATACTCACATTCATATTTTTCCCCTTCATTCCCCGTAATTGGGATCTCAGAGTAGTTTCCCTTGGGGAAATCTAACATCGTATGGGCATATGTAACATACAGATTAAATTACTATTCCCACAACCATCTACAGAAACAGCTGAAAAGCAAGCAGTCTCTCTTAAATTCACGCCTTGCTAAAGGAAGAACTAATTGCTGGTTGAAAAGTTGGGTTTTGGAGGGGAGGGGAGTTGCTTGTTTGTCTGTTTTTAAAACAGCAAATTCATCCCAAATATCATCTTTTTCAAGTAGTGCAAAACATGGATAAAGGTATCATCATCTCTAATCTTCATTTGCTCCATACGCTTTAGTTTTGACATTAGCTTGTACTGAGAAGTCTGTAGGGCTTCCTCACACTGCACTGCTTCTGGGAAACAGAGTAAGAGTGACTCTCACCGTAGCCTGAAGGTACGTTACACAAGTCCCCAGCATGCTCAGTTTCCAAGCCACAACCTCCTGTGGACTCTTCTAGTTCAACGGAAACACCCCAGGGTGATTAAGAAATAGAATCTTATTTGGAATTAACACCAACAATCAACCCCAATGTAAGGGGTCCCAGCTGTTCCACAGCAGAGCAACAACTGGCCTTCTGTATCACACATCCAGATCAACACGTGGAAATAGAAGAATATCGTAGACTACAGTACATGAGAAAACAGCATCTTTCTCATTCTACTGAGTCACTCTTATCAACTATGCTGATTTACAAAGCCAAAAAAGTTAACACTTTATTTTTACTAGGAACATTGCCTGATTTGCACAGGTTATAAAGGCAATTTTGACCCTTGAGTTTTTAGGGGATAAAGTCCGCAAAGATATTCAAGCATTTTCAAGGGTGGAATTCGACGTTAAGCACAGGCTTCAGACAAAATCTACAAGGAAAGTCCACGAGACATTATTTTTTCCAGCTTAAAAATTACTTTTCATTCCAAGGGGTCAAACAAAGACTCTGATTAATAAGCACCTCAAGTCAAATCACACATGACTGTCCTCAAAGCCACCCAAGATAGTTTTGCCTGATACAAAAAGTTAAAAGTATCTTCCAGGAAACCACAAGGTTTCAGGTCTGAAGGACTATCGACAAGGAAGAACTTACTTAACAACTGTGTTTCTTAAATCTAGTCAGTTAATTAAATGCTCTTTGTGAATTTCTGGATACTAATGTGTTATCAAAAGCATACCTATATGTAATAAGCTTACATACAGGCAATAAATGTGCTTGTGCCAACTGCCATGGGAAAGTGAGTTGGCAACCATCTCTCACTTAGTATTTGGACTGAGTTAAGAACCTTTTATCTGGTATGTTTAACAGGGTTTCATGTCAGACTTTACGCACTCTATCATTTTCAGCCCATGGAAAGAAAGAATGAAAATATATTCAGAAGGATTTTCACATTCCTCTCTCCCCCTTTAATCTGGGCAACTTCCAGAAAAACTGCACCTTTTACAAACCTAGGACAGCCAAACGGAAGCGTGCTTTGCCCTCCTCGGGCAGGAGAGTCCCCTTCATTTTCTGGTGGTTTTCTTATAGACTGACAATGCTTTAACCCATTCCGAAGCAACACCTGGATCTTGTAAAAAAGCAGCATAACAGATCTTCAAAGAATATACTGGACGGGAGGATATAAATCACTCAAGGGAAACGGGTGAAAAAGGAAAAGAGGAGATCGGGGCTAGAAAGGACAGTAGAGGCAATGTGATATAAAACCATGAAGATCAAAATTAAAGAGGCTGTAAATAAATGCTAAAAGCGCCAAGATTTCTGGTAGCTATTCTAGATCCTGACTCAATATTATCTAAAGCAAGATTATTAACAACAAAATATACCAGCAATTCACGAGCTGACTAAAATGTTGCCATAAATCTCAATAATCCACAGTTTCAAGAGCAGTATTCAAAAACTATTTGGTTTCAAAACAGTACAGGAAACCTGTCAATAGTTTTCCCATAGTTTTTCTGAAGCACAGAAAAACACTGATGTAAACAAGCCTAAATGCAAGACTATGTGCAAATTATACAATATAAAGACAAAGAAAGGTGTTTTGTTGTTAAAAAGCTATTTAAGTATTCCACAAAGATGCTCATGAGAAAATTAAAGGGCTTTTGTGTTATCAAAAGCTGTAAAAAACAGACAAACAAAAAAGTAGTACCCGATTTGTCTGTTAGAATGTTAGATATTTCAAACATATTTTAAGAAATCAAATTTGTTTGTTTGTTTTTTTTTAAACATTTACACTATTGCCTACTATCTGCATTTTATTTACTTGGCCAATAAAAAATGATGAACCAGTTTCACTTCAAGATTCTCATGCATTCAGAAAAGCTGTGTTATTTGGTCTTTAGAATTTCAGACTAAAATAGAATTGTGCTTGAAGTTTAAATTCCACCACGGCCACCACCAAATAAACCTATTTACATTTGGTTTTATGGCAAACTACCTTTTGTGGTTACACTGTCACTAAAGATCCCCTTAGGCATAAACAGCTGTTCATCAATTTACTCTTCAAAGACTGGAAACTCTCCCTTTTTATTTTTCCAGGTAGATTTATTTAAGCTGAAAACCAGCATTAAAGAGAATTCTAGCTCTGTAGTACTGGCATTTTTTGGTTCTTGGCTTTGTAAACTTCCTGGGATAACAATGCAGGAAAAAAAGGACAAATCAAAGAACTGACTTGTTGCATTCACGTGAAAATCATGAACTTAGGTCTTTAACAGCTCAGCTGTATGAAAGCATGGTGGCTTCTGTGAAACTTTTCCTTTTTTAAAAATCTCATTTTTAGGCCAATACCACTGCTTAAAATGCAGAATGTCTCCATCACTTATTTTGTGACAACTCAACACATTACACCACAGACATTTAACATAACTCCATACATGCTATATATAAAAAATAAAAAAAAAAGGAAAGGAAACAAATAAGACTATAGATAAACTGCTTTAAATACTGCATGCTACAGCACTTCACGTATCATCAAGATACGACACTGAAGGTGACAAAAGGCTGAAGGGATTACAAAATATTTTCGGCAGGTTGGAAAGCTGCCTTCTTACGGTGGCAGAATTTTTCCCCCTCCCCATTCTCTACTTCTAATGTTCATGATTCTAGTGTTGAGTTGGCCATGTATTTATTTATCCATTCTAATTACAGTATTTCCTTAACTTAATTAAATCCATCAGTGTGGTAGCTGGGGTGAGAGTCAGCTGTGAGCTGGGTTGTCTCTGTGGCTGATGCTGGCTGTATCACAATAGGTGTTTCTGAGGCCTCTGAAAAGGGAAGACAAAAAGTTTAGCACACTGAGGAAAAAACAGCGCCCTATGTTTTGGTAAGTATCAGTTACGCATCTCTGCAACAATTTGGCAATACAACTTTACGCTCCTCTTTAAAAACACAACGTTGATTTCCTGTTCTTCAATCTGTACGCGATGCCAATAGACTCAAACTAACATGTGGAGCATTTATTATATTTCTTTATTCACATAAGAGCAGCTGCTACTCTCCCATCGATCAGCATTGTCAGCTAAAAACAGGATCAGAGCGCACAGAAAGTCTACAGTTTCTAAAATAATCGGTTTAACTCTACAGAAGCTTACGTGATTCAAAAATAGTACTGGAAATAGCTAGCTGGATAGCAGTTCCATCTACTTTACACCTGATACAGTTTACAAAACTGCCTTGACACTTCCCATCCTTTGGGGTAGAGAATCTCTTTGTGGAATCACAAGAGTCTGGCTGGTACGTTATTCCAACGAACGTCGAAAGGAAGCTAAATGATGGTCACCTACTTCTCTGAAGCTGAGCCCTCCAAGTTCAGTGAGGGCCCACTGGGATTTCTAACGAGTTTACAGGAACTACATTTCTGGTGGTGGTTTACCCAGAGCAACTGGCTCTTGAGCCACAAACATGCATCCCTCCCACACACACACACACACACACACACACAATTAGAGATCTATGCCGACCTCTGTAAAGCAAGCGTTGCTCCCTCAATAACAACACTGAGCAATAGGTCAGAGATTCTGGTATTACGGTAATTCTAGAAATCCCACAGCTTTTTCACCTACCCCTTTCATCTGACTGCAACTGTGCCTCCAAGTCCTCTGGAGAGACGTAGTATTCCTGCTCTTCACCTTCAGGAGGTTTAGGTTTACACTTCCCACAGCAACAATTACAGCAGCAACACAGACAGCAACAGCAATAGCAGCCTGTGATGAGCCCACAGAACACAAACAAGGCCTGCAGAGGGCAGAAGAAAAAGAAATACTCGTAACCTACATCTATCATACTGTGACCACTGAGTTGGTGAGAATCAGATATGGAAACCAGGGATGAAAAATAAAGCAATGTAAAGATATAGCTTTTTAGTTACAAACTCTGAGATATATGCTGCCGATTGATTATAAAACCATGCAAAACTAGCTACAGCTATGATCATTTCACATTGAAGTGAATATCGAATCACTGAAGTGAATACGGGTTCACCTGAAAAAATTCCTAGAAATTAGGTTTAAAAATGATCTATGTTTTCTGCTACATATGCAAAAAGATAAAAAAAAAAAAAAAAAAGACACACAACTAAGGAGCGTACTTGCACTGAAATTTAGGCGTACAATAGTTTAGGACAGATTGTAGCTTGTATTAATGTGCCTGGATTAGATTTACACTAGCTAGTGGAAACTCAGATTGCAATGTGCCTACAGAAGCAGGCACTTAAGACTTACTAAAGGCTGTAGGCATGGCTGCAAAGCTCATGTTGAAGTTAGAGCTGGGGCTAGAACGCTACCAATACCTGAGCAAGCCAACTTAAAACTAGCCAAGTTTGTCAGTGTGCCTATCACAGTCATAGTGGCAAAGGGCAAAACTAAAATATTCACGTTGGTCACTACATAATTGCTTGGAAAAATAATTTTAAAGCTGTCAAACCAGCATGGTGATATAACTATTCCCTTACCACAGGGAAATCAAGAGATAGAAACAATGCTGGCAACAGCGAAGAAAAATGAACCCATGAAGCGAAACGCCAAGGCTACGAAGCAGTTTTAATCAGCCACAATGCTTACGATGGTAAGCAACGTCATTTCACTAAATAAGTAAGCTGGTGCAGTTATGTTTTCTTACTTTGATTTCTTAGCCACAGTCCTTTACTCATTACATTGTGTGCAAGCAGACTGCAATCATGTGAACTCTGAAATGCAAAAGCTTGAGAATGTAAGAAATGCATAGTCTAGAGGTTGTTCATATTTTTGAACAAAAGTGGTAATTTTAAAATATATTACTTAACATGATAGAAGCATATCATGATTAAAAGTGTTCCGAGTCCAGCAAAATATAACAGTTCTTTGGTGCTGGAAAAGGACTCCCAGAAGGCCTCTATATAAAAATTATATCTACCGTTTAATGCACACAAAAAAAAAGTAAAAGTATTTCTGAAAAAACATGAGCTTGCAGTGTCGTTGACTATACTAGTGACCCTCAGCTCTGTTTCTGCCGCGCCAGAAACAAGGATGGGCTAGTGAACAATTAATCTGGAGTCTGAGAAATCAGAGAACAGCTGAAGAAGCTTCTGAGAAAGTTTGTTCACATACTACTTCACAGGATCTTATGCGTGGGCTCAAGCTTGCAGTCAGGAGTCTTCTTGTAAGATCATTTAGCAGACATTACCAAAGAGCATACCCCTCAAACTTTTTCACTGCTTTAAATCCACTAGAAGGGCCTAAGCTTCACTTAATAACGCAAGTCTTGCTATAATTTAGACCTGTATCATTGACAGACAATAGAAAAATACTTCTGAACTAGCAATTGCAACGCAGTAAGAGAAGGTTAAATTACAAGATGTCAGAGATTTGGCAATTTCCAAGAATAAACACAAACTTTCAATTTCCAAATGGAACTCTTCTAAGATTTTAAATGGTAATCCAGAATAACTTCTCTTTCCACTTTTATTTACCTTTGCCCACCAGCTGGATAGGACGAAGTATGTGTTCACATTTTCTTCTCCAAATTGCTCTGCTACATACAGACCCAGAGAACCATACTTATCATAAATGTTTCTCTTCGTGGCATCAGTCAATATCGCATGTGCATTGTTGATCTCTTTAAATTTTTCTGCTGCCTCTGGATTATCAGGGTTCTTATCAGGATGGTATTTCAATGCAAGCTTCCTGAAGAAGGGGAAAAAAAAAAAAAAAAGAGATTGTTATTGGCTAAAAACTGGAATTTGGGTTCCTCGTTTTTTGACTTTTTTAAAAAAATTCATTCCATTATTTCAGATGGATAGCCTGTCACGCTTTCAGGGGAGACTCCTAAGTTTCAGTTGAGAATGTTTACGCCGCTCTGGTTTCCTTCACCTCTAATTTGTTTCCCTCTTTATTCTTCCTTAAGTGATAGCAAAGGGCTAAAGCACAGGCTAGCTAAGTTCAAAGGACTCATTTCTGACTGCTCAACCGGACTCTCAGAAGCCCAACGGAAAAAAGGAGGACATTGAAGACAAAGAGAAAGCATTCTGTTTTACCCCTCAGCTCCAGCAGTTTACACCATTACGTTTTACTTCTGCTAAAGCAGGGACCAAGCTAACAGAAAAAAGACACACCACAAGCCCATGATATAGAACCAAAGGGTAAATATAAGCAAGCTGCCACAGCTAATCTGCACTATCTGAACACAAAAATAGAACAGACAATAACTTGTGGTTAATTCACCAATTCCTGTACAGGAACAGAGTATTTTTCAGTTCAAGGCTTGCTAAAATAGAACAAGCTTTCAGAGTTTCAAGACATCAGGAAATCACAACGTACCTCCCTAATCATTTTACATCTCTTACAACTAAATGACAGCAGGTTACAGTCCCCTTGACGTCTTTCAACATAGCACAATACTTCAGATTAAGCGTTGATAAATTTGTGAGGCAGCCATTGTCCAGGTAATAAAAGAAGTCAATAGAAATAACTGGCCAAACACCTTAATGAACACAAAAACCCCATCATTTTGACGTTTAAGCCATTTTTGCTCCTAAGTAGAAAAATGCTACAGAATTCTATGCTAATAGTTTTCCATCACCAAAAAAGGTACTTTTCCTTCTACAGAAAAGTGCCACGAGAGCCCCACACTTGAAAAATACTCTAAAAGCTTGCAGAGCAGTTTACACAGGGCAACTCTGAGGAAGAAAAGTATTTAGATAAATACACAATAAGGATTTGTGCAAGCATACATTTGCACATACACACAAATATCACAGCATTCATACAGTAAACCGAGTGTGCGCTTGGAACGCTCCAGTGCTGTAAAAGATGTTGCTTGGGAAAACAATTTTTGGGGCTGCCACTAACGCCACAGTCTCAGTGAGGACTGAAATAATCACAGTTTTTATAATTACAGAGAAGTTATGCAAACTTCATTGAAATGGCTTGGTTACTATCAGGCTGCAATAGATAAATATTTTTCATTTGCCATTTCCTACACGTACACAAACCCCACAGCCCACCAAAGGATGTTCCAGATCTACTTGGGGGGGGGGGGGAAAAAAAAAAAAAGAGTGGTCAGAGTTGGTCAATCCTCCTTTTATAAAGAAATAGCAGAAAAAACAAGATTAGAGGAAATTTCAGGTAAGTATGAAGCACTGCATTTCCCCTCAGGATTTTGGAATGCCCTCACTCCAAAGAAAAAACTTTGGCAGTTTTTCCCAATGAAGTGATATTATCTCCCGGTTGCTAAGGCTGCCTCAAAACTTCCAGTTAAAAGTTTTTAGGAAGACATAGACAATTTTCAAGAGTCTGTGAGCCCGTTTATTCACGGATTTCACTATGCAACTACCATCAGTACTAAGAAGTGTCTTAAAAGTGAAAAAGCGGTAAACGTTAAAGACCAAAAGAAAAAGAATTCTGAAGAGAGTATCCTCAAGTAAAGATTACTACTGACCCCTAGCGTAATGTTAAATTCATTGCCACTAGTCAAATAGTTATACAAAACTGGAGCTCGTGTTTAGGGTAAAGAAGCAATTGCATATGAACAGAGTTGGGGAGAATGTGGGCAAGGGGAACAGTTGCAGTACTCTTTTTTGGTGTTTAGCGGGACAACGTGAAACTATTTCATGTCTCCGATCCTTTAAGAAAAGGAATAAAGCAAAAGCTCCTCTTTTAAAAATAATCAACCCACCAAGAGAATAAAACATTTTGAACACGTTTAACAGGGAAAAAAAAAAGTGACTGTTCATACTCAGTTTCCTTTCTTATTTGCATCTTTAATCCACATCTCACTGTGCCAGAATTAAAACTGACGGACAAAAGAACAGTATTACACAGCTGTGGCCTCTGCAAGCCAGACATTAAGCTATGCAACGTAAATGAAGAATTTAACATTGATCCCACTGTCTTAAACCTTTGTTCAACTTGAAATAAAGAACTTTCAGAATGATACTGTGTACTGTACTTAAGAATTTAACTTAGTATAGATAAAATTAAAAAATTAAAAAATTTCCACATGAATTCTAGGCATGTTTTCACACCTTTTTCATCAGAAGCAACTAGATGTTTTCATTTGTTTTTTGCTACATATTTATCTTGCAAAAGGTCAGTTTAAATTAACCAAGTCCGGTCTGCACATAAATATCCCATTTGTCAAACACTTAATTAAAGCTCTTTGTGCTATTTGGCAATTGGTGCTAGACTTGAAACTTTACCTGTATGACTTTTTAATATCATCAGAGGTGGCATTCTTATCCAGTCCTAGCACGTGGTATAATGATTCTCCAGAGGTAGACAGCGAACGTTGCCTCTGGTCTGCCATCTTGAACTAATAACCTGAATAGAGAACTGTCCCCCAGCAAAAAAAAAAAAAAAAAAAAGAGAGATTAAGAAATGCTTAAACAAAACGGAACACAGACCCACAGACCTCATGAATCAAATCAGCTTTCAAACCAGAGTTTTCACATAAAAAATTTTTAAGGAAAAAAAAAAGTTTAAATGGGTTTTGAAGACAAAAAAGCTTGAACACTGTGTAACTTACAAAGTTATAAAATCAGTGAATTATCAATGAAAACAACTACTATATTTTCAGCACAACTCCAGACACTATAGAATCACTAGCATAAATAGCACTCTATTTCATTCCTTTCAAAAATCCAAAATCAACAGCTGAGATATAGCTACTGGTATGTACTATATAACCCTAAAGCTACTTCATCTTCTTTCTTAGTCTTAGTATTTAGATCGTCTATTATCGATAACACTTGACAACAGATAGCTTGCTATTACACCGAGGCTGCCTTTTTGCATCACACCTGTATAGAGCTAAACAGAGAGATCTAATTCCAGGACTACAGATTTCTTAAACTACCTGGAAATAAGTTACTCAACCTGAGTGTTTCATTTTAAGCACTGTGTAAAAATACTAGACTGGCAACCCTCAGGAAACAAGTCTCTTGTTCACTCATCATACAAGCTGTGCAGCGCATGCTTTTCCAAACTTGCCAGCAACACATCGCTATCCCGATGTGAATGACTATGCTCAATAGGTCTAATCATCTGCACTGGGACAGCCATCAGGGACTCCATCCACAGCACCTACATATCATAAATAGGCCACTTTTACTTATACGAGCAAACAATCGTGAGACATTGCCTTGCCATCACTACCTGTAAGGCCTTCAAATGCGGCCCATAGAAGCCATAAACTCCATATCACTACCTCTCTCTGGTTCCTTCTGACTTTAAAGACAACTTAAAACCAAGTATTTAATAAACATGTCATAACAGCTTTGATAAAATCTAGTCTACTGTGTTCCATTTAAGACACAATTCACATAAATAAATTACCCAACTTTGGGCAGAGCGTATCTTTATACCACCAACCACTTCACATAAACTTGCTACAGCCAGAAATTCCAAATGCTTAGCTATAAAACGCTATGTGTAAAGCGGAATACCACCTTCTCAAATAGATTCGCTTCATTCAGGTCCTAAGGCAAAACTCCCTACAGATGGTCCAACAGCAAAATACTCCAAATACTAAACATTTGAGTTTATTCTGAAGGGAAAGTTCATAGAGCTCCAACGAAGGGTTTATTGCAAAAGTAGCACTGCCAGTTCCTGTCCTTTGAAAGCTACTCCGGCTCTCTAAAATAAAACATTACTGAAATCGGTAAAACACAGAGAAAATAGTATTGATCTCTCTGTGTAAATCAGTTATTAATTCCACCTGAACACATAACCACTAAATAATTTGGCAATGAGATCAAAAAAAGAAGAAAATTCTAGGGGAAAAAAAAAATTTGTCTCAGGTGAGAGAGCTATCTGCAGGAAAACTAGAAGAGAAGAAATTGTAAGCAGCTTCATTTTCCTTTTTCCTTTGCCTGGAGAACGCCTATATATCTCAGGGTAATCATCCAACAGCAACTGAAAGCCAAGGGTAAGCTAAATTGCATATGCTTTGTTATGTTAAAAAACCTCCTCTGCCTCCCCAAAGCCCCAGCCTCTCATCATATCAGTGGCACCCGGTCAAGCAGAATCCTTTAAACAAAATTCAGTATGACTAGGCCTATGCATCCCACTATGAAAAAGAGAACAGCTGCCCACGAAGCGAGGAGACAATCTTCCCTCTAATCATTTACAGTAGTGGATCAAACATTTAATATGTATTCTAGTTAAATAATACTGCTTGAATGTGAATTAACCTCCCAGTCTAAACTCAAATATTAAAGACCCTAGAGGTCTCCCCTGGGACATGTCACTGACAGATATACTATGTCCTCTAACACCCTTAGGAGATTAGCATTTGCCATTCTTTAGCTGCAGAACTGCAGCAAGGATGAGCATCGAAGAGAAGACTATTGGCTATTTTTGGATTATGTCATTACAGTTAGCCCACATCAGATTATGCTGTCTTTGAAAAAGATATTTAAAGCACCAGACTTTTCTAATTTAACCCTTTATCTTCTATAAATAAGTTAATAACCTTAGCTTTTAAAGGGCTACCTAAAACAAATGCTCTAAGAGGTTGCATCTTTCACTACTCGTTTCTTAAGCGCAAATTCACAGAAAGAACTGCTTGCATTTCCACTCCACAGACAAAACGATCCTGCTTGCTATCACAGCGGAGAAAATCTCCCAGTACCCTTAGCATCTTACTCCTGAGGCATCTGTGTCAACTACAGGCTATCAACTCAGTTCAAGTTTCCAGAGGAAACACAGTTTAGATAAAAAAAGAATTACAAAAATTAAAGGATTATGTAAAAACAAAGATGCAAGGATAATAATATTGCAGAAAAACACTGAGAAGGCTTCTGTTTTAGTGTTCACGTCTACCTGCGCTGAAAGCATATCCAAGCATACCAATCTGAATAGTGCCTAACAAACAAGCAGCCAAGTCTAAAGAGACAGTCCAACCTCCAACCGTACTCTGAGCATTTTCTCTGCAACTGAAGTCAATACTAAATTTTGTAGTCAGTTCTACATAGTTATTTACTGATGTGCATTCAAACAGACTTCTAATTTGCTCATATCATTTTCTGAATAGTCCTCTCCAAGACGCAGCTTGTCATACTTTCCTATGATTCATACACAGATTCCTCTGACAAACCTGATGCAGTTCGACCCTGTCACCCAATTTCTTTGAGGGAAAAATAGTCAGATAGAATTCAAATGGCTGGGAAAAAGGAAAAAAAAAAAAAAACCAAGAAATTCATCAAACAGATCTGTTTGGAAGATGTCTTATTTGAAATTTGAAAGTTAAAAAAACAACTTTGGCAGGTTTAAGGAAATGCCTGCTAATGTTCTGGCAAGCCTATCATTTGGAAGGTAGAGAAATGCTATCACGCAACAACCATGGAAATATACACCTTTTTGCTAACCACGGCACTAGAAACGGACACTATTTTCTTTCTCTGGATCCTCACTGTTCCCCCTCGCCAGTCTAAACATTTCACCAAAACACAATACAATTTTCTGTTAAAGAAAAGATTGATCTTCCAAAAATTGTTTAACAGTTGAGAACACCTCTCCTGGACTAATAGGGCTCCACTCAGCCATTCACCCAACAGTTCACACTGGCTGGGGTTGTTGCGATCTGAATAACTGATAGTACTGGGCTCAGACATATATCACTAGGCTTCACTATATAATTGGCATCAAAGGTCATATACATGGTTCCAGAGGTTACAGGTTATGTAAATTACTCTGAAAGGCTAGTAATCACAATAAAAAGGGCATTAAAAGCAATCCTTCAGTCTCACCATTACCTAAACATTTTCACCTAGGATGACCATGCTTTTTTATTCCTAAAATGCAAGGAACCATGCATTTCAAAATTAAATCTGCTTAGACTGCAGGGAGAAACTCAAATTCTTCCCTCCCTGAAAAACACAACAGTAACAGCTAATGGTCTTGTTTCTTTTGGTGCTAGCAGTTATCAAGCTAACAGAAAAGGCGCTCTCATGTTAAATACTAGAGGAAAGGTCTCCCAACAGCACATTACTGCCACTGGCATTAACAAGATTTGTAAATATCCCTAACAACCTGATAGTGCAAATACAGGGCAACTTGTTATGATGTGCTGCTAATCCTTGCATATGAAATACAGTACTGTTGAACCAAAAATACATGTATGAATCAATTATTTCATACACAAGCGGATCAGTAACATTCCTTCTGATATTTTGCTATCAGCCAGCATAACACAGCTACGATCTCATACTGTTCATACGCCTCACCAAAAACCCACCAGTTCTGTTTCTACCAGTATATGGGTACTGCTATGCTTTTAAAGGTGTGACCAGGTGGCAGGAATATAGATATAGACATTAGACTTTTCTTGTCCACCTCAGAGTCTATGGTTAATACTTTTCTGCATTTGGCCTCCCCAACTTTAAGTTAATTTAATGTTGAGAAGCATGTCCAGATTCTTTAAATGGAATATACCTGCTACACTAGTCGATTCACACCTAAATTCCCCTCAAGAAGTCATCAGCTGCTCTGGTAAGTTTAACTAAATGCCACTAATAAGGAAGCTATAAATTAATGGGTGGAGGAGAAGCTCTAAACTCTAATATTTTGGTTAAGAATTCAGGATGTAAGAAAAATACACCCCAAATCAAGAAGGTGAAGATGTGGGTAGGGAAGAGAGCCTCTTTCCTTTTTCTTCTAAAGAACAGTGTTAAGCTACTGAAAGGTTTCTGCATGGGAGGAAAATTATTGACTGCTCAGAGACACAATACTACTGATGCGCTTATCAGGGCATTATCCGATTCAAGGGAAGGAAAAACACTTCAGGAAACAAAGAGCTCTGCATAACACATCCAAGAATACACTAGGCCAAACTCCCCAAGGCAGCCGTTGCACTTCTGCAGCTAGTAGTCAGCCTGGCTGCAGCCTCCCTGCCCCCTCTACCGAAGCCGTCCCACGGCTCAGGTCAGCGACGGATGATCCCACCATCTCGCTGGTAATCTAGCTAATCGCACAGGCCTGCTCCAACTGGCCGCACTGGTTCCCCTGTGCCGCTTCGCCCGCTCCCTTCAACTCAGATCACCAGCTCTTCTCACAGCCTTCCTAGGAACTTCTCTCATGCAAGGACCATCGTGCCGATCATCTGTTAGCAGCATCCGCTCAAGAGAAGCTTGTCTCTCTCTCTCCACTATGGCATTGCCCTCCTGAGAGGCTATTTCTCAGGGACCTGTGGGACTAATCTAAAGGCAGGATTGGAAAAAAAAAAAAAAACAAAAAAAAACACATCCTGGTTGAGATTTTACATGTTAGTTTAGCTTTTCCAAAGAAGGTACTGCCTCAAACTAGAAGTTTGAGGGCATTATGAACGTTTGTGGCATTTAGGTTGTTAAAAGTCTGTCTCTCTACTGAGGCATAACGAGCTTTCTTTAAAAACAATGCAAAATGCCCTCGGTGCACAGATGCTGCAGATCACAGGTATGCACTATGTTCTGTTTAATAAGTTTTTCACTGTTAAATTAGAACTAACTCGTTTTTTAAAAAATGAATTCAAATTGATCCAGGCTATGTCTATCGTGTGTAGGCTCCCTGTCAAGAGTAAAGACGGACAAAGGAATAAAATGTCATGCTGCTATGATCTTCAATCATTTCAGACCCAAAAGTTCAGCTTATCTGGAGTTCAGAGCCTAATCGAGCGGGGTCTTTGTATTTATTTTTCACATCTGTTATGAAACGGCCAAGTAGGCCATAGCAGAAGAATGGAGGAGGACAAGGGGGTAATGGGAATTCATCTGGGAAGCTTTGTTATTTAAGAGAATTCTAGAACAGGTCGAGTCTTATTACTATGTATGTAATCCTTGGCCTTTCAAACATGGGACAGAATAAGAAAGACAACCAAGGTGGAAGTTGTTCAAGTTTAAAATTGGATCAGGATATCATCTATCTTACTATTTTACAACTGGCTGTAATTCACAACACGGAAAGCTGCTCAGCATTTTTTAAAAGTGTTGCATCCAGCAGTAACAAGCCATCTGCTACATATCCTAACCAAGCAGGATTTCCTGAAGAGGTTTCTCTCAGAAGGCTATGAAGAAAAGTAATCCCTTGGATTAAACAGTGTAATTTTTAACCAACTATGTACCGGAATGTCCTGCATTAATCAGCTTTAATAGAAAACGTAATTGTTTGTAGCATAGCAAAAAAAGTATAAATGGTGCTATCATGATTAAGAGACTTAGATTAAACTCAATATATTCTATGGAACCTAGTCTTAACATTTGAAACACACAAACGGTAAATTGCACCTTTGAAAGACTAATTTTCTTTTCAGCTTCCCCAAAAGACTCCTATTCCATCTTGAATCTGCTGGTCTACTTCAATCAAACTTGGTAAGAAGGCAAAGGTCTCAGAAAGGTTTCATGAACTTGGTGACATCTTTGTTTATGACAGGTCTGGTGCTCTTCAAACCCTCTTGTGAGCCAAATTTAGGCCATTAAAACAGCAAACTATTATTCCAGCCAAGAAAAATGGATAGCTCTCTCTCATTTTCGGGAATTAAATAATCTCGGAGAACATTCCCATGAGTGACAGCACCAAAAAGGGTGACAGCAGATCAGATGGTGGCGAGAAGCAGGGAGGACTAAAACGTCTCCTTTTTGTCTACAGCAAGCCTCCAAATTGGATCAGCCACGTTTGAAATTCAGCTTTAGATCAGCTGAGCTAACAGTTCACTGCCAGTAGAACAGGCAGTCTTGCTTTCTCTCCCAATCCCAGCTGCCTATTTCCACTCCTTCCCCTACATCGGCAGGCTCTTGCATTCATCTAACCCCACGGCAAGCCAGCGCAAAAATTTAACTGGGGGGTGGGAGAAGAATCAACTTTCGCCCCCAAAACACGCTTATTTCTGTGGTGGGAAGGAGCAAGGAGGTTTCTTACACTATTCACCCAGTGAACAGATGCTTTTAACAACACTGAATCAGAGAAGTCAGGTCACTGCTAGCAAGGAACAGCCTTAGAGCAATAAAGCCATAGAGGGCTAATGCAATGGACAGTATCAACAATATTTCAGCGTCATTAGCATCTGAAAGCGAACTAACAATGGCAGCTTTTCATTTTGCTTCAAAAGGCTGCAGCATTAAATATTTATTCACTAACAAACTTTTGGAAAGTGTAAAATACCAAGATGCCCAAAATATCAACTTCCACATTTCAAATTAACTTTTTATTTTTTTTCCATATAAGTAACAAAGGGGCAGATGCTCACTCCAATTTTCTCACTGGAGGTATGACGTCTTTTAAAAGGAGTTGAACGCATTCAGCATCACTGATAAATCTAACTGTCCTTCAAACATACAGAAGTTCCTGAACCTTCTTAATGGGGCAAACAACAGGCAGGAGAACACTTTTTGAACAGAAAGCCATTACAGGAACTCTGACTGGATTTTGTCGTACCTATTTCGTTAAAATCAGGAACCAAAATTGTCTGTTTTACAGGACGCTCTTACCCTGTGCTAAAACATCCTGTTCGAACTGGAATACATCATTGCAGTGAAAATATCAAGTTCACCAGACCCCATAGCGTCTCCTTCTCGAACAGTGACCCAGCTGTGGTGTCAGTTTTCTTTTCTTTTTTTTTTTTTATTTAATTTTTGCTTTTGTTTTTGATCAAGGCTAAAAACATTCTTGCCCAAGACATGCAAAAATACCGTGCATGATATACACCTCTAGAGCCTTATATCCTATAATACCTAACTGAACAGCTATGGGAAAATTAAATCTAGTTATTGTATTTCTACTCTTTAAGATGTTTGCTCCTTCATATTAGACACTAAGGATACTTGGAAGTTTACCTTAGTAAGTAAACTGATGGCGGAGGGGAACTAACCAACATTAATTTTAAAAATGCTCCTATGGCAGGACATGTAAAATATTAAGAAAACTACAATTCTGGTGAATCTCTGCATATTTGTAAACTAATGTTACTGGAGGAAAAAAAACATGAACGCGTGCGCCAATGCAAAGATGTCAGCAGACCTTTAAATACATGCTGTTCGCAACGATTTTAGCAAGGGCCTGTCTTCAATGTTGGGAATCTTGCTGCTACCGGTGGTTCTGAAAACTGGAATGCCGCTGTAACAGACATGAAATCCACCATCTTGTGACTCGTAGATGATACTTACCCACTAGATATAGGACAATGGAGAGTCATTAACCTTAATGGATACACTCTATCCAAATTGCAGGAAAGCAAATGAGTTTGCTTGGAGTCTTTCTACATGTAGCCAGTAACACGGAGAATAGAGAAATTCCCAAAAAGGGACAGATAAGAAACAACAGGAAAGAGAAAAAAAAAGAAACTCAAAACCATGCAGGAAGTGTTGGACAGGAAATGAGAACGCTGCTTTCCTAGCACAGCCATAACTGTCTTTAACACATACTATATGTAACATTACTATCTGTAACGTAAGGCCTAGTTGTCCAGCCTTTTCCAATGACAACAACTGTAACAGTGTAATAGCAAATGATTAAAGAGTCTAGCTTGGAACTGATGTTTTATCAACTTTTACAAAAATTACATCAGTTGATGCTTTATTATACAACTTCATGAAGCACTAGAACATTTTGAGCAAGATGTGTACTCCACAAGGCATTTCTGCCAAATGACTACCTTTCTCCTCCAACAATACAATGCCAACTATATTTAAGATTACCAGTTTTTCAAAGATTTTCAATGCAGAAGACTAAATACAGGTGTTAAATTATTCTGTCTCAACCACTGTTTACTAGTAAAAGTCTATATAAAAACAACAAATCAGAAAACACACGAGTAAATATTGATTTATCCCAAAAATGAAATAGCACCACTGGCCTCTGCATCCTGTCCGTCTGTCTTAGATTAAGAGTGGTTCTCACAATCTGGTATTTTTCTAGGGGAAAAATTCATTTTTAAAGGGAAGAGGAGAAAAACACATGTACAAGATTGTATTATCAACAAAGATACTTGAAAGGCATTTTAAACTTGGCTCAGTGAGGTATTAGAGAGATTTCTATGTGAAATTTTTAACTTTGTTCCTTCAGTGTTACCTTGCGTTTAATTGAGGGCATTTTTGGTTTTGTTCTTTTTTAGCTATAGAAATCAAAAAATACGTTACTTACCTGGACTCTAGTTTGTCCTGACTCTTTCCAGGTAAGTGGTAACAACTTCCGCACAGCTCTAAAAGTGGATCTCCTAAAGACAAAACAAAAGCAAATCAAAACTTGTTACAAAGTTATCATCACCTTATTTTACTACAACAACCATTCATACTATGCTAAAGACAACAGATAGGAGTGAAATAGCAAAAAATTTAACCCTCTATACTGATAAAAGAATTTTCCCTTAAAATAGATAAATACTGAAGCCACTGGGAATCCAGATGTGTTCTGCAGTTTGAGTATGTTCAGCCATATACCTTCCTATAACACGGTCAGCAATCTATCAGACAATACATTTTGAAGGCTGCATTTTAGTATCTCCATTATGCTTTCATTCAAACAATGCCTTGCTGGGATTGTCCATAATAAAACCAACCTGAGTGTTTTCACTCTCCAAGATACTTTATACTGCAGAAATTCTCCACAATGTAAGTACTTAGTGTAGAAATTATTAGCTGTCCAGGTAAGTTACAACAGATATTTTAAAGCATATATTCAAGAGCCCTATGCTTATATCTGTAGCTTCAGTATCTTCTCACAGACTTTTTGCTGCAAGATAGACAAACGCACATACAAAACAGGAATACCAGTCAGATTGCTCTGCAACACGCAAGAACGATAGTGATAGTTATCTGTTTAAGACTTTAGACTTTTTCATCCTAGGCATTTGTGAAATATCTGTACTTAGAGAAGTGTGTCTTTAAGTCTTCATAATCTGTAATGTTGTTAGAGACTGCTAAAGGAGCTTAAACTAATACAACGGGCTGCGAACTGTGACATATGAGAAGCAGGCACGTATCCTATTCCGCCACTCTTGGGAGGAAGCAGCAAAACCCAGGCAAAGAACAGGGCTAACAGCAGTAGAATAAAACTCTTCAACATCCCAAAAAGCTTTAGTGGAGTTCATGCGTCAGGTGCCTTCACGGAAGAAATTCTTTAAATGTAAGTATACCTTTCTTCACAATGTATTAAAAGCACTGCCACTAAGACGAAGGAGACATGCAAACACATGGAAGCGGCTGAACTTCACTGTGCCAGTTTTAACGCCACTTTACATGGCAGCATTAAAATAGATAACATGCATAAATTGCAGAGCAACATTCACTCATTTCGCCAGGTCAAACTTCTAGGAGGAAAAATACAGTTTTATCCTATTCACCTTCCCTTCTCCTGAAGCAGATTACACACAGATGGGGAAACCAAGTCCCGCTTCAGTATACAAGGAGGAAGAGGAGATGATCCATCAACACAAACCACTTCTTTCAGCGGTCAAACCAAGTCACAAAGATTACTATGGATCACTGGTCAAGAATAAATAGACAAGAGGATCCTATTAAATGCTAGATGATGCTACGGAAAAACTTAGGGAAAATTACTGCAATGCATTAAAAGATCTTTCTGATTAAGCAGGTCCAGATTAAATCTAATCCAAGTCATTAATTACAAAGTCATTTACGCAATAGATTACTGTTCAATAAACTTCATAGGAGTGGGACTTCAGACTGGCAAATCATCATCTGATCATCATCCAAAACCCTTTCAACAGTTTGCAAAGCAAAAGCTCTGAATGATTTTGAAACTCCCCATTCAGTTCACAAGTAGACCTTTCACAAACGTGGAGGTGTTGATGCCGCAAAGAAAGAAGGGTGATGGATAGACATTCAGTCACAAACAACAATCATTTACATGGGCGATTACAGAATTCAGGTTTTGTAATTTTTAAGAAGCTAATTAATATTAGTAACATACCCATAAATGAATGAGAATGAACCAATCCACAAGAAAAAAGCAAGTCTGCAGTTGATAGATCCACTTAGTTCATTTGATAGGTACGGGAAAAGGACTTTTCCTGGCAAATGAGAGGTAGTGAGCACACAAGCTCACATAAACAGAATTTAAAGTTTCAAACTCAGATAGTGCATGTGCAATATTAAAAGCTGGACTGTCTTTCAGATGCAAAATGTTATGTATTTTGTGAAACTATAGAAGTTTCCAGGTTCTCTTCCTACAACTTCCTTCATTACAAAGTAATCTACAACAGAGACAGATTAAAAGTGATCTTAGAAAGCTGCAGAGCGATAACAAAAGTATTATCAATGACAATTACGGTCCAGGCTCCTAGGACACTGGAGGACTAGAGCAGACTTATTCAGAAGGAAGACACCGTGAACCTTGTCTATGATCACTGTAAATCTTTTCTTTCAATCTCTAGCTAGCAGATGCACAGTATTTTTTTTTTTAAACTGTACCTTCATACCTAGAAGGAGACTATCTTCAGCGTTACCTGTAATTCCGTTTCAGTCACCAACTTGAGTTTCACAAGTTTTTGTCAGCCAAATCAGGAAAAAGCTACAAGATGCTCAATTTATAAATCTACGCCACTGGAAATCTACAAACAGGACAAGCAAAGTCCACATGGACTTTAGAGATTTGCTTAAACTTGCTTGCCTCTGACAAAATGAATTCTTGCCCTAAAGTCAGAGTTTGGCATCCAAAGTAGTAAGCGAACAGTCAATGATACATGGATAGAAGCTTCAAATAGTTCAAATACAACAAGATACCAGCCTAGACCTGATCAAAACTGTCAGAAAAGAATTCCTTATTTTATAGAAAACATACATAATACCTAGCCATGTATGAAACAAAGAACACACGCAAAAGTCATCTTTCATCTTAAGAACAGATGCAAGGAGCAAGATTTTCTTCCATCCTTCAACTATACCAATATGAAGTTTCACTAACAGTAGAAAGCATGATTTACAGCTGGAAATAACAGAACAAAACCAAAATAAATTCCAAAGGAAACAAATTTTGATAAATATCAAAGCATATGGAAACCCCTAGCCAGCTATTTCATATCATTACTCCCTTCCCACATCCTTCTGCGTGCATTCCCTGCTAGTGCAGCAGCCATCTGCGGTACAGATTTCTGGGGTTTTACTTGGTTTCTGTTGCAACTGGCAATTCTAATTTAGTGACTCAGGAATGTTTTGATCTACACATCCAATCTCATTATGCAGGAGGCCAGATCCACTGACCCAGAGCTCCACATAATACCCTGCCTGTAATTACTTGTAAATATCTTCTCTCATTATTACCTGAGATTCAAAATACAGACAAATGGAGAGAAAATGAAAGGAAAGAAGCCGGGAAAGAAATGGAAAGTATTTAAAACCACCATCAATGGATGCTTTTAGTTTCCAAAAAAAAAAAAAAAAACCCACAAAGAAAAGAATTCCGAGAAAGGAAAGGGAATAAACAATTGCTTAAGAGGCACAAAACATATAAATAGGTATGAAAATCAAAAGGAAAGATTAAAGAATGACCACTATAAGATAATAACAGAAAACAAGGCTACATGAAAACAAACTTCAGCAACATATTAAAATTATAGGAAGAAGTTTTAGAGCACGAGTGAAGAAATACGTTTAGGAAGTTTACCTCTTCTTTCAACTGTATTGCTCATTCCAAAAACAGTCCTGCTAACCTCATTTGTTTTGAAACTGATTTATTCAATATTTATTATGTTTTCCCTAAATATTGCAACTATAAATAGTGTTTAGCATCCTTTCCTTAATTAGCATCCTTCCAGTTAACAGAATTGTCATTACTCCACTTGGTATGTTGTTAACAAAAAGAGAGAAGTATCTGTAGAATACCTATCAGAGTTAACAAGTATTTAAAGAATCAATGCTGCAGCTAAGACAAATAGAATTTAAAAATACAAACTAAACAAACAAAATAAAAAACAAACTCTTGCGTCTTTATTTTCCCATTTTTGTTTGCTTGCCTGATTTACAAAGTGAATCAGTACTAGAAGAATGGCATGAAGTGGCTGAAGGCAAAGCACACTGGCTCATACGTGCAACTCAGGGGACTTATGAGAAGTGTTTTAAAACAATAATATTCTAGCTGTCTTAAAACAGTCAGCTTTTACCTGTTTATTGAAGTTCTAGCACTTACTATTTCACTAAAGCATCCAAAGAATCTTATATAGATATACCTATGTTGTATTTTTAATAGCAGCACAAAGTCTCTTGGCTAAATTTTACTGTTCACAGTCTTTTGCTAAAGGTCACATAAGAAATCTCCTATCCTTGGAACAGAATGTTTTTATCGGGCTTTTACACTACAGAAATATAAAGGACAGGTCTTATAAGCACTACAAATCAGAAGAACCATTTTTCTTCATTACAACATACAAACAAGTATCAGTATCTATGTGTTGCATTTTAAGTCATGAGCTCCAAGCCTTAGTAATGTTTGATTCAAAACTTGTGTTAAAAAAAAAAAAAAAGCACGATTTGATTACAGAAAGCCGTATACAAACATTTGTGACTTGAATCATGCACAGCATACACTTACTCCAAGCAGTTTTAACAATTAAGCCCTGATGTAAAGCCAACCTAGTATTCAGGGAATAAATCTCAAACACATACAACTTTGTTGTCCCCCCACCCCAAAAAGGGATCCTAGTAAGACCAAATTCATTTGCCTTCGAAACAGAAGATAAGTCTCCAACACTGAAAGATTAATATTTTAAAACATCAGTTAAATTCTCCAGAGTATGAGGTACCAAAACGTAGAAACATAGAGTTGTAAAATAAATGAAATCCAGGACAACACAAGTCTGCTAAATTCAAGTGCAAATTGATTTAACAGCCATCATTAACCATTGAAATAGAGGTTACACTGAAACTTGTAACAACTTGGAGCGATACAAGCGTCGTTTCTTTAATAAGCTTAGCAGATTAAAATTTAGTCATTTAAGTCTGATTGACCAACTTGTTATAAAGACTTGTGACCTTGTGCGCTATACAAAAGGAAGTTTCAAACCTACTAACAAAGGGCTTTCAAATCAGGAAGAAAAATATTTAAAGCATTAGATTCACATTTTCCATCCTCTCCCCTCTAAAAGGATTACTCTTTAAAACCCTGGGCTTTTAGTGGGTTCCTTACTTACAATTCCACTGCTCCTATTTAATCCTGCAGCAAAATTTAATTATTGTTTACAGCATTACAGTCATTTATATG